TTAGTTTTCTGAGCCAGAACTTCTGCTACCACAGCATATGCAATATTGCAGACTTAAATCTGAAGGGGAAAACCTGGCTTTTGTTAATTCAAAATGAACAACACATAGGAAATCAGTAGGCTACCAAGTAGGACTTAATTACATTTATATATAATAAGTAGCGTACATCATGTTTCCTTTTGAATAATTTGTCCTAGTTTAATATGGGATTTATTTTTATACAAAGCATAGATAATTGTACGATAACCAAGTAGACACAGTAGACATTTTAGATATAATAATGCATGAACATGAGTGGAGCCTACACCCAAGCCTGTGATTTTCAAGGCAACATGCTGTTCTTAAAATGAAAATTGTGCATTCTAACCATGCCAAAAGAAACATGGCTTACTGGTTATAAATAATAATTCTGAAGTCAGATTGCTTAGGGTCAAATAATGATACAATCATTTATTTACTTAACTTGTATGTGCTTCAGTTTTATCATTCATAAAATAGTTTATGATAATATTATATCCTTATCAGATTCCTGACAATATTAAAAGAGATAAGATATATAAAGTTTATAACAGTACATGGCAAGTAAACACAGTAAGTTTTCATTATTATTTTATTAATAAATGTCCTTGCAAAGCCAGGCATTGTTGGTATTGATGATACCAGTTCCATAAACAAGAAAACAGGTGCAGAAGATTAAATACCTTGGCCAGGGTTAAATGAAAAAGAGGAAATTCAAACCCTGTTTCTCTTGCCTCAAACCCCATATACTTTACTATATCACACTTACTGTTAGTACAGATACTTTATGTAAAGTATCTAAAGGAAGTAGAGAACAACTACCTTTTAATTGGGTGAATCATATGCTTGACAAGTATTGTTCAATGAGTATAGCACAAAAGACTGACAGAATATAAACATGCAGTGCTAACCAGGGTGTGCTTCTCCATGTTGCCCTCCATGCTAGATTTACTCTTGACCTCCTGTGTGTCTGTGTTCCCTGCCTCCTCATTAGTGCCGTCCTTATTTCTCCCCCCCTTGCCCTTCTTCCAATTTCTTATTCAAATTCTATATATACCTTGGTATTTCCCACAACCAAATGAGTGGTGCCAGATATGTGTATCATCTGCACTATTATTTATTTAGTTCTTTCCTTAAACTGATGTACTTTTTATTCTTTAATTTGTTTGAAAAGAAAACTACCATAAATGAAAAAACAGTTTTACTTGGCATAAGCAGGAGCTCTGAAATCACTATGATATAGGCAAAGTAAAGTTAAGTTCTAGCTAGATTTTCTTGTTCACCAAAGGCTCTGAGTTTGAAGCTTACTTTCCCTTGCTTACAAAAATTAATCAAATTCCTGGCAGGAAAGATACCATGATCATGAAGATGATTTTCCCAGGGCCAGGCTTATCCCTTGCACTCTGGATGTGCTGGCCCCTGTGATTTCCCCAAATGTGGGGAACTCATCTGCATCATTTGTCATAGTGATGGACTGTGTTCTCACTTTCTCCTGAAAACAAGAAGAAGAAAATCAAGGTAAACCCATGATAGTTATTATTGACATATTTGCATTAAACTGAAGTTTTAAAACTTCCTCTTTGAAATAATAAGGAAGAAAAATAAAAAGAAGTAACTTCCTAATTGAGTGTTTCAATGTTATTGAATGCCACTCTCTACTACCACCTCATAGAGTCTCTCACACGGTGCTGTGAGTCTCATCCTTTGGAAACATTAATTTATCTGATCTCCCAGACTCATTATTTATCTTGTAAATGTCATGATTTATTTACGCCACTTATTTGGGAATATTGTCATAACATTTCTTATGTGTTAATTAGTTTATCTCATTTCTTGTGAACAGACACAAGATGAATCCTCAAGATAATAAAGTCTTAGTCACAAGTCATGGTTCAGACAAATGAGAAATAATCTCATATACAACGATTCAGTCAGTACTATATATAGAAGAATAATAAGGGGAATTGAATTGTTTATAGTAAATTATTTGAAGCAAATCAGTAAATAGTTGTAATAACTGTGCATGTTTTTTTCTCTTGGGCCTGCTAATGATGTTCTGTGTGTAACTATATATACCTCTATCAGACTTGAAACTCAATACCCTTTGTCAGATAAGAATATTTAGCAGTTATTTGTTGTACTGTTGTTTAAGATTACTGTTTTGAAACCAAACTACTTGAGTAAAGCTTAGCTTTGTATTAATGTGAATTAAAGTTCAGCAGTTTAGAAGTTCATTTGCATTTCATAAGACTTAAGTTTCATATTAGAAAATCAAACTCAGCAAACAGATTTTAATTGACCAACTACCCTGACTAAGATGTCAGTCTTTATTAAACATCTAAATTTGAGAATAGGTTAAAAGGATGTGCTACACTCATTTGTTATTTGAATGTAATCATTTTCTCTATAAATCAGATCTTGGCCCTTTCTCAAAACACATGTGTATTATGAAAAGTAGGACTTAATTATATAAGGTTTCCTTTCAAAATAGTTTAGTGGAAGAGAGAGCTGTCCATTTTAGTAAAAGAGGATGCATATTATGACCAAGAGATCTGAATTATAATCATTGGACTCCCTTGAGAAAGTAGTTTCACTTATCTCAAAATGTTTGCAGATGTGCAAAATGAGAATCTCTCTTGTAGACATCAACACATAATATATGAGAATAACCATAAGAGTGCTTCAAAAATGGTAGCTGTGACTATCCAACTAGATATTTTAAACAAAGCATTAATTTCCCCTTAAACCCAGGTAGGTATAATTAGCCTAATTTATTATTATTACTATTACTACTATTTTCTATTAATAGTAATAGTAATTACTATTATTATTACCAGAGATCTATAGGGTCCAGCAGAAGCAATGCCTGCTTGAGTGTGGTTGGTAGGGTACTAATATGGGTGTAGTAATTTATAGCTTTAATTTGGACATTTCACCTAAAATGCCCTATGGTGTTCTTCAGTGTGATATTGTTATGCTACAGAATTACATGCTTATGATTTTGTAATAAAAGGTTTTATAATAAAAATCGGGTGTTGTTTGTACCAGGCCCTGTATTTTGCCATATCCTAGCGGTGGGCACTGGAACTATTGTCAAACAAGAATTCTTGGATGGACCTAGAGGGTATTATGATAAATGAAATAAGACAGGCAGAGAGAGACAAATGCAACATGATTTCACTTATATACAAAATCTAAAAGACAAAACAAATCAACAAACCAAACAAAACAAAAACAGACCCATAGAAACAAAACAAACCTATCAGAACATAGGTAGAATGGTGAAGGGGTATAAACGTTCCGTTATAAAGCAAGTAAATTACAGGTTGTAATTTACAACCTGTAATAGGGAATAAAGGTTGTAATAAGGGAATAATAGGGAACAACCAATAAGGTAGGGATTAAAGTCAGTGGTGTCATAATAATTTTTGTTACTAGGCATATCGTGGTGATCACATTCCAATGCATGTAAATGTCAAATCACTATGTTGCACACTGAAAACTAATATAATATTACATATCAACTATACTTTCATTTTTTAATAAAAAAGAAATCTCTGTGTCATGGACTTTACATTCTAACAACAAAATTTTTTAAATAATAAAGTGTATGTCACTGTAGTAATGTAAATACTACTGAGCAAATGAAGCAGATTGGTGGGCTAGTGTGAAAGGAAATGAAGATACCGCTTTAGATAAGGTGGTTGGAGGAGGCTTATTTGAGTGGTGATATCTGAGCAGAGTCATTAAAGGTAGGAGGAAGCTGATGTCAGCTTGAGAAAATAACACTGAAGCATCAAAAGCAGAGAATCCTGAGGCAGGGAGAGCCCCCCTGACTCTGATCTAAACAGGGGCTGACTTGTTGGAGATGAATTGAGGAACAAGAGGGGACTACTTCCTATAAAGACTGGCCAGCCATAATACCAATAGGGAACTAATGAAGCAGCCACGTTTAAATTTAAAAAGATTTTTCTAGATGGCTATTATTGTAGCTAGCGACCAAGGGGAGAGATATGGGTTCCACAGGAATAGTAGGCAATTAAGTGATGGGACATATTTGGAATATATGCTGAAGCCAGAGCTGGTGGAGGTGAGAAACAGAAGAGAATCATGAAAGGCCAATACGTTTGGCGCTGTGCCGCTGGGGGCAGTTGAGCTACGCACTGAACCAGGAAGGCAGGGGGAAAAGCAGATTTAAGGCTACCAGTCAATTGAAGGTACCAAGGAGGCAAATGGATACACTAAACATTTATTATTGGGCTCCTAATATATTTCAAAAATATTTTCTATATTTTCCACATGGCAAATATTGTTCATGTTGAATATACTCAGAGTTGTTGAAATGAACTTTGATTAGAATTATATCAAGTAATATGACCTGTAGGAAGATCTTCTGAACTGTATTTACTTTTAAGGAGTTCCATAAGTTTCAGAGATAGCTGTCTGAACCAGCCAAATTTTCCCCAGGTCAAGAGACGCATCATATCCTATTAGGCATAAAACACATAGAGCACCTGCCAAAAGGATCTGTAGTTGTCTTTGTTATCTTGGTGTATTCAAGATGTGAGTTTGTCCCAGATGCTCTAAAGCAGGATTCGGCAAGTTGTGGCTGGCACGCCAAATCCAGCCCTCGCATGATTTGCTAAGCAGAGTTTCACTGGCCCACAGATGTACCTATACTTCAGGTATTATGTGCGGCTGCATTCACACTCCAACACTCAAGTTAAGTAGTTGCGACAGAGGTGTACGGCCCACAAGCCTGAAATATTTACCATTTGGCCCTTTAAATAAAACCTGGCTGACTCTTGCTCTAAAGTAACTTTTAATCATGAACCTTCATGATTTTATTATTTAAGAGAAAGTGATTCATAAATGAGCATAGATATAGAAGTTCTATATTCATTTACCATCTGAAATAATTATGAGAATAGATCTAATATTCAGCATTTAATTTGAGTGATTTTCTTTTCTTTCCTTTAAAGTTAAGAATCCAAGTTCAATCAATACAACACAAATACCGGGTAAGTTAAGGTTTTATCCTTTGAGGATGTTCATGTGTAAAGTCCCCAAAATGAGACAAAACCAATTAGAGTGCAGGGTGAGATAGTACAAGAAAAACATTACATAGTAACTAAAATGTTTAGGAGACCTTGTATTTAAAAATAAATGCAGACCAGGGAACATGCAAGGTTGTGCCTGAATGTTCTGTGGTTTTAATGAGTGGAACCAACCCTGGTAAATGGATGAAGCATGTGGAATTGTCCTCTGACCAGAACCTGTTATTTCTGGTCTGTTTCTATGCTTGGCATCTCCTCTCGCAGAAGTATAGTGAAAGTATATGTGAGCTGTCTTCTCTATTTCCAAACTAAGCCTGGTCCTGGCATCCAAAGAGATGATGTTAATAGACCACAGTTAACAGCCTAAAATGTCACTTCAAATTGCTTGTTTTGACATCCTTAGTTTTAAACTGAACAAATTTTGGATGATGGAGCAATAGGAACTGAAAGAAATCATTGGGCAGGGGAAGATGGTCACGTTAAATCTTCCTTTTGTTTTGAGATCAAAATTATTTGGATGATTCTTGTTTTTGTACATCCTACCTGGTACTTCAGTAAATGAAAAATCTCTTAGGTTCCTAATCCTCACGACCTTTGGTATTTATAAAATGAGGAATATGTGAAATAAAGATAGGAGATTCTGTAACTTTTTTTAAAAAATTGGAAAAATAAGGCTATGCAAATTTTGAGGGACTCTAATAAAAACATTCTCACAACAAATGTCTAAAATGATCATCAGTCTAAATTCTACTTTTTGTGTTTGAAGTCTTCAAAACTGAATTGATTATGCTTTTAACTTTTAAGTATTTATCTTCCACATAACATCTCATGAATGAAGTTATTTTATAGTATAATTCTCTGTATTTCATCTCATCACCATATTTTTACTCTTACTTCCATAGTCTGGAAATGCACTCAAAAGAGAACTGGGAAAAACAAAGCAAAACAAAACACAAACACAGTACATCCAGGCAAAAAGGCCTCTTTGCATTGGCTGATGCTGTGCGCAGTCTGGAGAAGTTCTTCCCCTCTGCTTAGTGGACTGGTTATCCTGGAGAAGCTGCAGATGGGGACAAGGGGAGCTGCCAAAATCCTCAGCTCCTTTTAAGCAGGATGAAGCAGGCTTTATTTTGTTTAGAAAAGTTGATTTACAAAATTCCGTATTTAACTATAATTTATTTTTAAATGCATTGAAAAGCCCATTTAGATTTTAATTTTGAGTTATGGAAAGGAGTTCTCCTAAAACAGAAAAATAAAATGAGCCAGTGATTTGAATAGTGTAGTCGAAAGAAATGAGACTGATTTTTAAACCACAAGGAAAGTCAGGCTCAAGTTTGAGCTATGTTGTGGCTAAAGACCAAATCAAGATTTATTTAAAAAATAAGATATTCATTATACCTCTGTTAACAACTGTAACTGTGTGTGTTTACTTAAAATAATGTTATATATGTTTATCAAAGATGCTCGAATATCAAATTTGTGAAGTATTTTCACCTGTAAGATCAAGGATAAGGGTCTCTTTTTCTTTTAATATATTTTATTGATTGTGCTATTACAGTTGTCCCATTTCCCCGCCTTTATTCTCCTCCATCCTGCACACCTCCTCCCACCCGCATTTCTTCCCTTTAGTTCATGTCCATGGGTTGTACATTAAGTTCTTTGGCTTCTACATTTTCTATACTATTATTAACCCCCCTTTGTCTATTTTGTATCTACCATTTATGCTACTTATTCTCTGTGTCTCTTCCCCCTCCCTTCTGATCCCACTCCCCTGCTGATAACCATCCACGTGATCTCCGTTTCTGTGATTCTGTTCCTGTTCTACTTGTTTCCTTTGTTTGTTTTTGTATTTTTTTTTAGATTCTGTTATTAGTAGCTGTGAGTTCGTTGTCATTTTACTGTTCATATTTTTTATCTTCTTTTTTTAAATAAGTCCCTTTGACATTTCATATAATAACGGTTTGGTAATGATGAACTCTTTTAACTTGACCTTATCTGGGAAGCACTTTATCTGCTCTTCCATTCTGAATGATAGCTTTGCTGGACAGAGTAATCTTGGATGTAGGTCCTTGCCTTTCAGGAATTTAAATACTTCTTTCTACCCCCTTCTTGTCTTTGAGGTTTCTTTTGAGAAATCAGCTGATAGTCTGATGGGAACTTCTTTGTAGGTAACTGCCTCCTTTTCTCTTGCTGCCTTTAAAATTCACTCCTTATCTTTAATCTTGGGTAATGTAATTATCATGTGCCTTGGTGTGTTGCTCCTTGGGTCCAACTTCTTTGGGACTCTCTGAGCTTCCTGAACTTCCTGGAAGTCTATTTCCTTTGCCAGATTGGAGAAGTTCTCCTTTGTTAGTTTTCAAATAAGTTTTCAATTTCTTAATCCTCCTCTTTTTATTCTGGTACATCTATGATTCAGATATTGGAATGTTTACAGATGTCCTGGAGGTTCCTAACCCACTCCTCACTGTTTTGAGTCCTTCTTTCTTTATTCTTTTCTGGCTGAATGTTTATTTCCTCCTTTTGGTCCACACCATTGATCTGAGTCCCTGTTTCCGTCCTGTCACAGTTGGTTCTCTGTACATTTTCCTATATTTCACTTTTCATAGCCTTCACTTTTTTCTCTATTTTGCAACCGTATCCAACCAATGCTGTGAGCATCCTGATTACCAGTGTTTTTAACTGTGCATCTGATAGGTTGGCTACCTCTTTGTTGCTTAGTTGTATTTTTTCTGGAGCTTTGATCTGTTCTTTTATCTGGGCCATTTTTTTTTTGTCTCAGCATGCCTGTTACATAGTAAGGGACGGAGCTTTATATGTTCATCAAGGCAGGGCAACCCACATCACTGCATTGTGGTGCTGTATGTGAGGGAGGCATCCAAGATGAAACAGTGCCACTTGCTCTGCTCTCTGCTGGCTTTCAGCCACTTCCCCCACTACCCACAATAAAATCGGGTCCTTCTGGTGATGATTCCTGGGTGGGTGGCTTTGTGTATGTTCTAGGACCTTGTGCGTCTCTCCAACAAACTCTCCTGTGAGGCTGGAAGTTTCTCCTGCTGCTTCCTCAACCCCCACAGCTGTTTTCAGTCAGAGGTTTTGAGGCCTTATTTTTCCATGCCAGAACCCTGGGTTGTATGGTCTGTTTCACTCCCCAGTTGGTTCTTTCAGTTTATCTGCATGCAAATGTGGCATGGAATGTGACTGCCTGCTCTGCCAGCCACTGCCTTGTCACAGTCCTCTTTGCCCGGCTGCTTTGCCCGGCTCCACCCCTCCTACCAGTCTGGATGAATTCGTCTTCTTTAACTCCTTGATTGTTGGACTTCCATACAGTTCAATTTTCTGTCAGTTCTGTTGTTTTTTATTTTTAAAATTTGTTGTCCTTTTTTTTTGGCTGTGCAAGGAGGTATAGTGTATCTACCTATGTCTTCATTTTGGCCAGAAGTTCAAGGATCTCAAAATAATTAGTATTTCTCTATTTGGGTAGAAGCTGAGGTAGAATTCCAGCCTACAGAAATATCAGTACTGCTTCTTTTCTTTATAAAAATGAGCTAGTATGCATGTGTTTGACTAGCTCATACATACCTCTCACTTTTGACACTTTTCATATGCATACAGCTTTAATTTTCTTGAAAAGTGCTGTTTTTATCACCCACTTCAAAAACTATTAGTAGGTCTAGAAAATGATGATTATTTTGTATAGGATCTTTTTTGGGAACCCAAAATAAGTAAGGTAAGTGTATATAAAGTGTAAATTATAGAAAATTGTACATACGCACGATGTTTAATATTATATACAAACATAGAGAATGGTAGTTGTATGGAAATGATACAGATATGAAGACATATTCATTCATCCCATTCAATAGTATGCAGTAGATAGCTGTAGTTAACAGTGCTAAGCATGAGGTAATATGCTCAATGTCTAAAACATGTATACAACTTCAGCTGCCCATTATAACAGATCTGTCAAGATTTCAAATTTAGAATGATACCCTATTAAATATACAGAATAGTATGTTCCACTAACTGTGGATTAATTGTAACCATCACTGAGGCATTCAATAATATGAAGTCTTCCATTAAGTGTCCCCAAGGGAAACTTGTCAGCATCATAAGTAATTATAAAAATAGTATTTGTGTAGGTATAAAATGATAGAAAATTTTCAGATAAACTTATGTTAAGATTGATGGAGGTAAAGACTTTTTTCCCTTTAGCTGCGGTTGTTATTCATTATGTATGTGGAAAGCAATTTAAGAAGGATGAGGAATGAGTTTATGAAACAAGTGACCTTATAGCTGCCAGATTATTCTGCCTACTCATTTTTCTAACTGAGCTCATGAGGGGATGGAAATACCTACTACAAAGTGATGAAAGGCTGTTTACTCCCTAGAGATATATGCAGACATCATGTGGCATGCGGCCATTACAAGTTTAAGCAATAATGAAATTCACTTTTCTTTAGCATTATCATTTTTTCACAGACTTCTCCTTGTAAATGAACTTCTTTATTTCTTTGATAAGAGATCTCAGCTCTGAAAAAATAGATATACCATACCTCTGTGAATTAGGAAAGGAATAAACCATTTACCATTAATTTTTTAGAAAATATAAAAAACTGTATTAGAGTTCTCCAGAAAAATGGAACAAATGGGATAGATAAATTATAGATAGATGAAAGGAAGAAAAGAAGAAAGGTATAAAGGTAGAAAGACAGAAAGAAAGGAAGAAAGAAAGAAAAAAGAAAGAAAGAAAGAAAGAAAGAAAGAACAGATAGATACAGATAGATTTATTATAAGGAATTGGGTCATGCACTTCAGAGGCTAAAAAGTCCCAAGATCTGCAGTAGGCAAGTCGGAGGCCTGGAGACCCAAGAAGGTTGATGGTGTCATTCCCAGTGGTACCAGTATGAAAATCAGCAGGCTTGGTGATCAAGATGCTCAAAAAACTCATAGAGCATGGCAACAAC